AGCTATGACAAATAAATATGACAGTTGTAAGGTTATAATCGACGTTCAGTTTATAAAACAAGAGAGCGCATGAATATATTATAAATTAATTTATTTTTTTAAATAAATGCGACTTATAATTTTTAATGAGATACTTTTAAGTCCAAAAAATTATAAGTCACCATCTTAGTCGACTTTTGGCCTTCGAACATTTAGAGTGAAAATTGTAGATCAAAAACAGTATAGGATTTCATATTGAATTTGAAAACAATACATAAAGTCCATCTACAAATTAACTAGACTAAAAACCGATCAAACTTTTAAAACTTTTTAGTTTCATTAGATTAGAAACAGCATAAAATATTCATAGCTGCTCAATTATTTTACTAAAAAGTTATTTAGACTTAAAACCGATCAAAAATAATGTGAATAGTAGATCAAATACAGATCATTTAGCTTAAAATCAGTTTAAATTTTTCGACCCGGGTTATATCTTTAAAAATGTCAATAGTTGAAAAAATACAAGGTCATTCCTTAATTATTGACGTTTTTAGAGATATAAGCTCATCCTGATGATACACTCATCAAGAGCTTTCATTTAAGTGCCCACATGCATTTAAATATATTTTTGATATATTCATATATATATAAGTATATAAAATATATGAAAAATTAATGTGGGTACTCAAATGAAAGGTCTTGATAAATGTAACATCAGGATGAGCTTATATCTTTAAAAATGTCAGTAGTTGACAAGATACAAGGTTATTTCTTAATTATATATTGACATTTTTTGAGATATAAGCTCATCTTGATGTTACACTCACCAAGAGCTTTCATTTGAGTACCCACATGCATTTTGATATTTTTTTTATATATACATATATATAAATATATGAAAAATTGATGTGGGTACTCAAATGAAAGATCTCGATGAGTGTAATGTCGGGGTGAGCTTGTATCATGAAAAATGTCAATATTTCATAAGATAATAGGTCATTTCTTAATTCTGTATCTAGAGATACAGCATCTTCAAAAAATTAAAAAAAAAACAGCTGTGATAAGACGATAATGCTTAGGCGTCTTGTAAGTACTGTCTGATGCTTCGCATCATGAGTTCTGCAAAATAATTTTATTTTTTTAAAAAGTTATACTTACTTAAAGATAAAAAAAAATTCTATGAAAAGTCACTGTTCCTGTAAAATATTTCTTCATAATTTTTTTAATATAAGTAATTTTTTTTTTTGACATATATAAAGTTCAAACACCATCTAGTTTTTAATGAAACTTTTATTTACTTGTCTGAAATTTTTCTCTAACGACTTTATTTTTTTTTTTTTTATTAAAAAGTAAAACAAATTTATATTTTTTAGAATTTATGAGAATAATATTTCTAATCATAATAAATTAACTATCTAAAATATAAATTTTTCGTCTCATATCTTTGTATTTAACGAGATTTTTAATAAACATAGAAACTTTAAATTTATTTAACATTAAATTTTTATGTCAATTATTTTAAAAAGTAAAACGATGTACCATAGTTAAAAGTGACTACTATTTATCCATTTTCATATTAATTATAATTATAATTAAAAAGCTTCTTCAGAAAAAATAATAAAAATTGGCTTTTTTTCGACCTTTTAATCATTGAATCACTAGAAGAAAATAAAAAGTTTCATCTTAAAATATAATTGTCAATTTTCTTCAATACGCTTTGACGCAAGAGTTTTAATTAAGAAATATTAATTAATAATTTAATCAAGGTTAAGTTTTCTCGATTGCATTACCAGTAGAACTTGGCAAGAACAAGTAATTGTAAAAAAAGTTTGGAAAATCCAAAAGCGCACGCCTCATAACCTCATTTTCGACAATAAAATTTATTAAAATAAAATAAATAAAATAAAATAATAAAAAACAGTAAATTTTCGGGTGCCTGAAGGAAGACCGAAGTTGTGTTGGTCGAAGTTAAAATTTTTCTTTAAATTCTATTCTTGGTGGAAGTCATTTTTTCTTAGGTCATAAATACTTGATACAATAAATTTTTATATTTGATCAAGATTTTTAGATACTTTAGGGAAGCAGCGCCACCTAGAGCCGAGAAAAAAATTTTCTCCTTGAGAAAATTTTTCTCTTAAATATTTGATACCCATTTTATATTATTTTAGCGTGCAATTATACATATTGAATGAAAAAAAAATGATGAAATATTATTTGATCTTCCCATTTGACATGTTGATCAATAAAAATATTAATGAAAATTTACTTCTATCTTTATATTTAATTTTTTGGAGCAAGAAAGAAATTTTCTCAAGACAAGAAAATTAACTTCTATCAAGAACTAAATTTTTTGGAGCTCGAGGCTCCAAATTTTCTCAAAACAACAAGATTTTCTTGACAAATAAATTTTCTTGGATCAAGATATGTATTTCTTAAAGCAAGAGAATTAATTTTGTTGGAATAAGTGAAATTTCTTGTCTCAAAAAAAAAAATTTCTTTTTGCTCAAGAAAATAATTAGGAAGAAAAATATTTTAGTGAACCTTTTTTTCTGTGTACAAAAGTTAACTTGATTAAAAAGAAAAAATCTTGAACCAAGAATACTAATACCATTTTGAGTAAAATCATTTTCTTAAACTTTTTTATGTTAGTATTCGAAAATTTGTCAATATTAGAGAAACTGGCTAAAGATAATTATTAGAAATTAAAATTAACATCAAGTCCTGTCTTATCGATTGTAGAGAAAAATTATAGGCCGCAGGCGCGCAAATTACCCACGGAGAGTTACATACTGACATACAAGTGAAGCTAATAAAAAGCGTGTAAAAAGTATAAAAGCCACAATTTATAATTTAATATCCAACAATAAGTGATTAGTAGCTGTCACTATAGTAAATAACGACTCTTTCATCTTAAAAAATTACAGTTTCAAACAGTAAAAATTGCCCTTTCAATATATAGTCGATATTGTGAGGAGAAGGGGAACTCAGATGAAAGAGAAGGGGGTCTCACTCTGGGAGAATTTAACATTTGAAACAGTAAAAATTATACTTTTAAAATATACATTTTACCAGTCCAAGCAAGTCAATAATTACAGTTTGATTTTTAGCGTTGCGTTTAAAATTTACCATTTCACTTTGTAAATATTGACGTTGCTTGTATTAGAAATTTACTAACTTTATTTTATACT